CTGAAGTGGATGTGTTTTTCCTTGCTTTCGAGCGGATTGCTGTGGCTCTGCAGGGGCCTCGTGAGGTTTGGTCATTACTCTTGCAGTGCAGATTCTCAGGCAAGGCCCTCCAGGTTATTTCTGCTCTGTCTCTAACAGACAGCGCTAGTTATAATTGTGTGAAGAATGCTGTTTTAAACGCATATGAACTCGTTCCCAAGGCATACCGTCAGCGTTTCCGGTTAGAAAAACCTAGGCCTCCCCAGGGTTATGTGGAATACGCTCACTCTAAGTCCGTGCTGTTTGATAAATGGTGTTCAGCTTCTGGAGTTAACTCCTTAGCGGACTTGAAAGAACTAATTTTAATTGAAGAATTTAAGAGACATATGACTGAGAGGCTAGCTTTGTATTTAAATGAACAGAAATTTGTTTCTCTTTCTTCGGCTGCCTTGTTAACTGACGAGTTCGCTCTGACTCATCAGCCCAGAGAGTCGAAACCTGACTCTGTCCGAATAGTGAGACCCTCTCCTAAGCCGTCTGACCATAGTGACCTTCCCGAATGTTCCCTCCATAAGTGGTTTCTATAAACACCGTGGATCTAACACTGCTAATTTACGTCCACTAACTCCAGCTGTTTCTGTAGTTTCTGATTCCTCCACCTCACTCAGCATGGCTCTATTAAACACCCGCTCTGTTAACAATAAGTCCTTCCTGCTCAATGATCTAATTATCTCTAAAAACCTGGATTTTCTGTTTCTGACTGAGGTTTGGCAGCAAACATCTGATTTTTCTGGTCTGATTGAATGCTGTCCGAGTGGTTATTCTTTTCTTAGCCAGCCCCGGGGTTCTGGTCATGGTGGAGGCCTAGCTGTTGTTTTCAGAGACCATCTTCCATGTAGCTCTACAACCTCTGGTCACTTTGCTTCCTTTGAAATGCAGCTGATTAAAGTCGGGCGTAAGGACCCGTTCTACTTTGCTGTGGTCTATCGTCCACTTGGTCCAAACAGTCCTTTCCTTCAGGAGTTTAGTGACTTTCTATCCTCCACTGTGAAGCTGTCCAGACTGGTGATTGTTGGTGACTTTAACATCCACGTTGATGATCCCTCTGATCACTTTGCCATGAATTTATCCAGCCTTATGGACTCAGCTTTACCCAGCATGTTTCTGGCCCCACACACACCAGGGGGCACACTCTGGACCTTGTTTTTACCCTGAGTCTACATGCTGACAGTGTTTGTCCTGAGGACATTTATATTTCAGATAACCATTGCATATTCCTTAACTTCTCAGTTTAACGAGCACTGCCTCTCCATTCTGGACAAAATCTGTCCTGTCAGAACCAGATCAGTTCCTGCAGTGAACCCTACTCCCTGGGTTAGTGACAGCCTTCGTAGCCTGAAGCGCCAATGCAGAAAAATTGAGCGCTTGTGGAAGAAAACCCATCTCCACGTCCATCTGCTGCACCTAAAGGATCTTCTGACATCCTTTAATTCTGCAGTCAGAGACGCGAGGGTTTCCTATTTCTCCAACCTGGTGTCCCAGAGCAAAGGGAACCCCAGGATGCTGTTTAACACCATCAGCAGCATTGTCTCTCCTGCCTCTTCTACAGCCTCCATCCACTCTGTTACAGACTGTGAGAACTTTCTGTCTTTCTTTGTGGACACAGTCAATAAGGTTAGATCTAGCATCTCTCCCTCAGCCTTATCGCTGCCTCTCCCAACTCCAACCAGGCCCATCATCCTAGATAGCTTTGCTCCTGTTTCTTTGCCCGAGTTAACCAAACTAGTTAACTCTATGAAGACCTCTGCATGCCCCCTCCACATCTTACCCTCATCTTTGTTTAAAAGTGCTTTTCAGTCCATCGGTCCCAGCGTGCTCTCTATAATTAATGATTCTCTGGTCAGGTCCCTGCTTACTTTAAGAATGCTGTAATCCACCCGCTTCTTAAAAAACCCGAGTCTTGACCCCTCTCTTCAAAGCAGCTTCAGACCCATCTCTAAACTTCCGTTCATCTCCAAGATCTTGGAAAAGGTTGTGGCTAAACAACTCACAGCTGCTCTTGATGAACATAACATCTATGATAGTTTCCAGTCAGGTTTTCGTAGAGCTCATTCTACTGAAACAGCTCTTCTTAGGGTCTCTAATGACCTTCTGACTCACAGTGATGCAGGGGACTGTTCTGTTCTGGTCCTGCTGGACCTGATTGCAGCCTTTGACACTGTTGACCATCACCTGCTACTGGAGAGGCTGAGAGACTGGGTAGGCCAATCAGGATCTGCTCTGGAGTGGTTCTCCTCTTATCTTTCTGAGCGCTCCTTCTCTGTGGCCGTCTCCAAGTTTAGGTCCTCCACCACCTCCCATACCCATGGTGTTCCACAAGGTTCTGCGCTGGGGCCTCTGCTCTTCCTCCTCTATCTGCTTCCTTTTTACCACATCCTGAGCTCCTTCAAAGGAATCTCCTACCATCTTTATGCAGATGACATCCAACTGTACATCTCCTTTAAGCCCCATGAGATGTCTAAGCTGCAGCTGTTACACACCTGCTTAGACTCTATCAAAACCTGGATGGCTGGGAGCTTTCTGTAGCTGAATGAAGATAAGACTGAGATCCTCATCTGTGCCCCAGACAAGCTGGTTCCCAAAGTCAGAGACTCTCTTGGTCAGCTTGCTTCTCACACCAAACCTGTCAGGAATCTTGGTGTGACCTTTGACCCAGCTCTCACCCTGGATTCTCATGTCAGTTCTCTTGTTCGCTCTTCCTTCTTCCATCTCAGGAACATTGCTAAGCTGAGTCCCGTTCTGTCCCACTCCAAACTTGAGACTGTTCTCCACACCTTCATCTCCTCACACTTAGACTACTGTACCTCTCTTTTCACGTGTCTGAGCAGAACCTCCCTGAACCGTCTACAGGTGGTTCAGAATGCCTGTGCTCGGCTTCTGACCAAGTCCTCCAAACACACCCACATCACCCCGCTTCTCCTCCAGCTTCACTGGCTGCCAGTCAACTTCAGGGTTCATTTCAAGATCCTGGTTCTGGTCTATAGGGCCTTACATGGACAAGCACCATTTTACATTGGTGATCTTCTTAGTCCCTACACCCCCAGCAGGTCCCTGAGGTCCAGTGATCAAAGCCTACTGGTTGTGCAGCGCACCAGGCTAAAGACCAAAGGCGACAGATCATTTGCTGCTGTGGCCCCTGGACTCTGGAACTCTCTCCCCCTGAGCCTAAGATCAGTGGACTTAGTGGACTCCTTTAAAAAGCAGCTGAAGACTCACTTGTTCAAGCTGGCTTTTGTATGACCTTCATCACCACTCTCTCTTTATTCTGCTCTCTCCACCTATTCCACCTTCCTCGGGATCCACTGATTTCCCTCTTTCCTGTTCAATCTTTCCCTTTCTTAACATTTTTTTAATCACAATTGCCTATTTTTGCTAATTCTATGCAATGTTTGATAAATAAGACCCCAGGTTTGCCTCAGCTTCTGCCATAGTTGGAGCTGCATAAATTGATACAACCTGTTCATTCACAGAAACAGTCGTGTGCGACCTGCAGCTTTAAATTCATCTGATGTTTCAATAAACTCTACTGATGTTTTCTATATATTATATGGTTTTGCTAATCCTTACCAATTCAAATTCAATTCAAATTCAAATTCTAAGATACTTTATTAATCCCAGAGGGAAATTAGAATCTCTTTACAGGAACTGCTCTAAATTGTAGAATTGTTGCATCACAGTAAATTCACTTCAAGATGTATGAAATAGCTCTTCTTAAGTTTATGATGGTGTTGATTTAACTGATTTCTATTATCTCACTTGTATCTCTGTAAACTGCTGTTTGATGTTATTGTCAGTTGTGTTTGCCTTATCGTGTTTTATTATTTTATTTGTTCTTTATTATTTTACTTTATTTGTTCTTTGTGTTGTTGTTTTCTTTTTGTTTGCTTATCCTATTCGGATACACAGGAGGGATTATGCTTTGGAAATGTTATGTTTATTATTAACTGAATGTATTAACTGAATGTATTATTCTATGCCTGAAAGCATTCTCCCTCTCTCACACACACACACACACACACACACACACACACACACACACATCTTTGTTATAAATAAACTCTGAGAGCAGAAACTCGGGGCAGTTGCCTTGAGCTTCTGCCCCTGATTGCAGTTTGGTGACTTGTCTGCTTGTTGTCCCTCCCCTCTCTCCAGCTGCAGGTATTGGGTTACTGATAAAATCCCTAACAGTCATGTAATCATTAGTTTAGAAATATAGAATTAAACTCATTTTTATAAACTATATTCTTGAATCTGTCTGAATTAATATGAAGTGTGTGTTCCTAAGGTCGTATTAAATCAAATATTCAAAGACCAATAAGATTGATCATTTATAATTAGATGGAATATCACATCTTATTGATCATTCAGTAAAAGTAACCACTTCCATCACGTTACACCATCAGCATGGCTCTACACTTCATCCTGCAGCATCTGGACTCCTGGGTAGCTACACCAGGATCCTGCCAGAAGCAGAAACAGCTGGAGTTAGCAGGTCAGATCCACGGTGTGTAAAGTCCACTCATGGAGGGAACAGGAAGGGAAACCACTGAAGAACCAGGATAAACAGACCCGAGGAAACATGGACGGAGACACAGCGCTGCCCCGTGGCCAGGCGGGAATGTGGAAACGGACCTGTGGCTATTCCAAACACAGGCGCCATCCTGTTAGCGTCCAGAAGCAGAGTATGGGTCGGATGAGGCTGGCCCATACTCTGGAACAGCAGCTGCTATGTGTGGACTCTCATGTGATTTGTTTGTTTACATTTGTAGTAAACCTTTTTCCACAGTCATCATGACTAAATGATTTAGGTTTCTTCTGGACTTTCCTGCACGAGTCTACATGTTGCTTCACTCTAACACATTTCTTATTAACCAAACAGCCTGAAGACCTGACTGCTGGATGACTTGTCTCCCTCACGTGTCTCTGGAGACCACTTGTGAAGAACTTGTTGACAGACTTACCATCTGACTCAGAAGACCTGCTCTCATTCCAGTCATCATCTTCTTCATCTCCAGTTTCAGACCCAGAGTCTGACAGCACAGAGTCCAGATTCACACCATCATCATCATCATCATCATCATCATCATCTCCATTAACTTCAGTCTCTGAATAATCAGATGTTTGTTCATGAGGGTTCCTGCTAGTTCCTGCTCCTCCACCAGTTTCTGCTGTCATCTGGTCAGCTGAGCTGCTGGTTGGAACATATCTGTCTTCTATTTGCTGCTGATGAAGCTGTGAGACCAGAGGTTTCTCTTCATCATCCTCACTCTTTATAGAAACAGCAGTAACAGGAAACCCGACAGCTTCAGTCTCCTCCTTCAAACAGAGATGCTCTCCCTCCAGACTGGTCCAGAGCTCCTCCTGTTCCTCCTTTATGTGGAGGTGTTCTGGGTCCTGCTGGTCCACACCAGCACTCTGTTCTTCAGGATCTTCTTCTTTAACCAGCACCAGCTGTTGAACATCTGTAGGAAACACAGACATGATGTTACAGACCATCATACCTTTATATTTACACCATGAGTGATACTGGCTACATGATGTGGGAAAAAGGAACAAGAACATGAACTTCATTTAGATAAAAACATATTTCTACTTTAGGAACAATAAAAACTTCCATCACAATCAGTGTGTTTGTTTCTGGCCATAACTTCTAAGCCTCCTACTCACAACCCAAGCTTTAGATCTGAAGCTTATGTGAGGAGAAACGACTCCAAGATAAAATCAGCAACTATTCAGTCAAAAGGAAAATGAATAAACACTTAGACACGTTCCTTGTGAAGGAAGAGGATGTCTGCAACATCTTTAGGAGACAGAACATACGGAAGGCACCAGGCCCAGATGGAGTAACTCCTTCCTGCCTCAGGACCTGAGCTGTCCAACTAGCACCAGTCTTCACAATGATATTCAACAGATCGCTGGAGCTGTGTGAGGTTCCATCATGCTTCAAAAGCTCAACTATCATCCCAGTACCGAAGAAATCCTCCCCTACAGAATTGAATGACTACAGACCCATGGCTTTGACATCAGTAGTCATGAAATCCTTTGAGCGCTTGGTGCTGTCCCATCTTAAAAGCACCACAGGCCACCAGCTGGATCCCCTGCAGTTTGCCTATAGGGCAAACAGGTCAGTGGATGATGCAATTAACATGGGGCTGCACTTCATCCTGGAACATCTTGATCAACCAAGGACCTACGCAAGGATACTGTTTGTGGATTTTAGCTCTGCTTTTAACACCGTTATACCAGAAATCCTCACCTCAAAGCTTTCTCAGCTCACCGTTTCCCCTGCTATGTGTCAGTGGATTTCCAGCTTCCTGACAAATAGGAGCCAGCATGTGCGGTTGAACAATGTTACGTCTGGCACAAGGTTGATCAGCACCGGTACACCACAGGGGTGCGTCCTTTCTCCACTGCTCTTTTCATTGTACACCAATGACTGCACCTCTAAGGACACAGCTGTAAAAATCCTGAAATTTGCAGATGACACCACTGTCATTGGGCTCATCCAGGATGGTGATGAGTCTGCTTATCAGCGAGAAGTTGAGAGGCTGGTGGTCTGGTGTAGTCAGCACAATCTTGAGCTTAACACCCTTAAGACTGTGGAGATGGTCGTGGATTTTAGGAAGCTTCCCACAGTGCTGTCCCCCCTCACAATATCCAACAGCCCAGTGATAATGGTGGCCTCATTCAAGTTCTTGGGAACTATCATTTCCAGGGATCTGAAGTGGGAAACAAACATCAACTCCATCCTCAAAAAGGCTCAGCAGAGGATGGATTTCTTACGGCAACTAAGGAAGTATGGCCTACCACAAGAGCTGCTGATCATCTTCTACACTGCTGCAGTCGAATCCATACTTTGCTCATCCATCACTGTCTGGTTTGGGTCAGCCACAAAGATGGACAAATGCAGACTACAGCGTATTATTAAAACAGCAGATGCCCAACTGCCCTCTGTCCAGGAACTGTACATCAGCAGGACCAGGAAAAAGGCAGTGAATATTGTCCAAGATGCCACACATCCTGCATCTACTCTCTTCCATCTCCTCCCATCTGGCAGACGCTATAGATCGCTGTAAACAAAAACTACCAGACACAAGAACAGTTTCTTTCCTTCAGCCATTTCTCTCCTGAATCTGTAGATTATTTTACCATCCTTTTATTATACTTTGTTATACTTATTCAGTATGTTTATGGATAGGAGTGTGTGTGTGTGTGTGTGTGTGTGTGTGTGTGTGTGTGTGTGTGTGCATATATGTATATATGTGTGTGTAAATGTACATGTGTGTGGGTATACATGTTCTTATGTGTTTTTTAATGTATTTTTATTCTCATTTATTGTGGTTGTTGAATGTTTTAGAGAGCGAACATCTACCGAAGCTAAATTCCTTGTAAATGTAATTTTACTTGGCCAATAAATCTGAAATCTGAGATGCAGCTGCTGTCAGTAACAATCTTTAACTTTTAAGCTCTCAGCAGGCTAAAGCACTACAAAGCAAAGGAATCTTGCAAATTAGCATTTTTGGAGATTGATTGTTGTTATTATATTATTATTGTTATTATATATATCCATATTATATATATCCATCCATCCATCTTCTGAACCCGCCTTGTCCTCGCGGGGGGCTGTCTCCAGCAGTCAACGGGCAAGTAGGCGGGGTACACCCTGGACAGAGAGCCAGTCCATCGCAGGGCAACACAGAGACACACAGGACAAACAACCTTGCACACACACACACCTAAGGACAATTTAGACAGACCAATTAGCCTAACAGTCATGTTTTTGGACTGTGGGAGGAAGCCGGAGTACCCGGAAAGAACCCATGCATGCACAGGGAGAACATGCAAACTCAATGCAGAAAGATCCCAGGCTGGGAATCGAACCCAGGACCTTCAATTTATTAAATCTAGATTAATCTCACTGTAATCTTGGAATTAATCTAGATTAAAATGGCTCATTCAAATTCTGCCAAAGACATATTTGTGTGCTACCTAGATCATAAATAAAGGCAAGTCTTTGAGAATGGAGGCATATTTCTTGTTTCAATAATGCATCACAGACTGATAAAGCAGTTTTACTACGATAACTGATGATGAAAATAAATAATGATCAATAAGTATTTGTGTTTAGTAGTTGTTTATTCAGTTCAACAAATTCTGCACTGTAGGTCTACAGAATAGGTCATGATTAACTATTTACAGTCAGTAGCATTTGGTCAATCAGTCCAAGCTCTATTTCTCCTTCTTCCACCAGTCACTCAAGCAGACCAGCTTGTTCACATTGTCTGGTGACAAACTAGATCTTCTCTTCTGTAATTTCGGTAAAAGCTTCTCTCTCTGGGCCTCAGGACCAATGACCTTTTGAGAGTCTTTGCAGGTTCTGTGGCCTCACCCAGATCACCCGCGGGCAAACAAGTTCTAACCAGAACTGGGGGACGGAGGGTTTCAAAGCATCTGTCAGCATTCATTCTGGACAGTTTTACTTATTTTATGCTTCTTTGTGAGAATTGTCCTCATGTCCCCATGTCTGTGGAGGGATCAGACAAGGACACTGCTTATTAGTGTTGTCAAAAAAAAATCGATACCTAGATATAAAACGATACTGAAAGCGGTATCTAAATTAGATATTCCATCCCTGTGGTATCGATATTATGGACTATTATACACAGCCTTCTTCAAGTACACCGGCACGCACGACAGCCAGATGCCGTAAAGCAACCTCCGCCTCCCAGACAAACAGAAGAAGACGCCGCGTAGCTACATTGCAATTTCCCACGCGAGTTGTCTCCGATCCAAGTTTTGTCTGCCAAATAAATAAACAAAAACATAAACAGCGAATTTGGGAGGCGCTTCACAGCCCAACTTAATTAGCATACCAAGTTCGACACGTAGTTGTATATTCACGCTTATGTGCTTAAAAAAAATCTTGTTTATTGCAACCCGGACTTAATTTCTAGCATGCAGTGCGTTTGTTTACTCACGCTGACAACTTTGGTGCTACTTGAATTCCCCGGGGTATTTAGATCCATCGGCGAATCGCCATCAGTGTATATCCATATAACGGGTGCGGACGGGCACCCATGGTGCAGCCTCGAAATAAGACATTATCTGCACCAAAACATCTCTATGTCGAAAGGTTTTGTTGGGAATCATTAACATGATTCCCCCTGTTCGTTTGGAGCGAGTCTGGGATTTCAAGGCGTAAACAGACTAGCCGCGGCTAATCTAACCGGCACTTTTAATGACGTCACTGCCGTGCGCCAGTCTGTTTTTATTAAGATTACCGGTAGATGTACCTTTGTCCTACTGTGGAGAAATTTGTTTTCTCCCTTTATTGACCAACAGAGTTGTTCAAAAGTACAGAACAAAACATATGGCATTACATCTTATGACAAAAATGCACCTTAAACAGAGTTTAAGCAGCAAAACATCACTCTGCAAATAGTGTATATATAGTGAGATAATTCATGATTTAAAGTGTTAACTTTCGCCAGCTTTTGTATGCACGTTTTAAAAAAATGCGGATACTTGAAAGGTTTAAGCACTTTATACAGTTAATTCTTAACATTTAATTTTTGCAATGTAAATTGAGGAATGTTATTTTTTGAATAAACTTGTTCAATAAATTGGTGTTTTTAAATAGTATCGAAATCGAGTATCGAGTTTTCCCCCCCAGTATCGAATAGAGTTTGAAATTTTAGTATCGTGACAACCCTACTGCTTATTATGGGATAGTAGTGGCACTGACTCCTCCTCCAGCTTCCACAAGCCTGTAGTTTCACTTTGGTTCGTTCGGTCTTTTATTTTCTAACTTTGTTGACAACCATGTCAGTCACGTCCACCATGTGTGCAACAGAGCAACCAGGAAAACGTGGAATGGACTTCAGCAGACGGAGTCATTTCTAATGAATCATTTGGAATGGATTTCTGAGAACAATGGAAAGAGCAAAAGGTGTGTGTGTGTGTGTGTGTGTGGGGGGGGGGGGGGGGGGTTCCCTTCTGACATAATGGTTGTGACATCTTTGAACCACCTCCACTCAGTCAGCCAATTAAGTAGTTTACTTGTAGTTTAACTCTTGATCCAAACGTTGGACCGTTTCTGCCTCTAACAATGGTTTCCGTCGTTGCTGGTTTCTCTTTTTTCCGCCACAGCACCGAGATCACCACGTAGTGCTCCAGTAAAATGTGTTTAGACTGTGGAGCGCACGTTTAACGAAGCTTCGAATCAGTAAAAAAATGAATTGAGGAACTTAATGAATCGAACCATTTGATGATTCGCTTCAGCCCTACTTCCTTTCAACGCTTTAACAACTCTAACTGTCATTGGCATGTTTTTACTGTGTGGGCGTCGGAACGAGCCCCCGCACCGTGAGAACAAACATCCCAGCTCTAAAGCCGATCTTCATCCACGTACGTCACACATCACGTGATCAGGAAGCAGAAAGTCCACGTGTTAGATCAGGGGAGTCAAACTCAAACTCACACGGGGCCGAAATGAAAATCTGGGACGAAATCGCGGGCCAAACTTAATATTTTTTGAAAAAGTGACGGCAAATTTGCACATTTTCTTTATCAACATGTATGCAATTTAGAACCTTTTAATTTGGAAACAAACTTATTTTTGCATTAACACTGAATGTGGAATAACCAAATTACACTCGAGCAAGTCCGTTTTAAATAAAACACATCAGTGGTATTCATTACTTGTGGTATAATCAGCATTTTTAAAATCTATTCAGGATTTATGTTTTCTTGTTTATTCATTTTTCTTATTTTTTTATTCTCCTTTTTTTCTCCTGTAATAAGTGTCATCGCTGCTGTGACGTCTAGCTTTCCCCACTGAGGAACAATGAAGGGATTTTCTATTCTATTCATCTATCTGCAGCCTTTCCAGTTCCTGTTTACTGTAGGTTAAATCTTTTCTCACGGGCCAACAACAAAATAAAAACATCATTTTATCTTAAATGAAAATGCAACATCTCACCTGTTAACTTTCGTGTTTTGGAGCAGAAAAAGAGCATAAAACCAACATATTTAAAGCTCAGTTTTCTCCACTGGTTTACTGTGACGCTCACCTGTTCCAGCCAGATACCTGCATCATGTGGCTGACCTGAGCTGAGGAGGAGACTCCTGTTGTTTTGTTCATCTTCATCATAATAATGACAACATAGGTTTGTGCTGATGAACATGTCTGAGCAGCTTGACCACGTTGTTGTGTGTCGGGGAGGAAAAATAACAACTACAGCAGCCACAGAGTCATGCTGGTTTGAGCGTGTCACTGCTAGTTGGAGTTATATCGGCTCTGTCTGGAAGTTAGCTGGAACACTTTCTCTTTCAGTCGTGAACACATTACTGAGCAGTTAAAATCTCTGTTTCTGGGCTTCAACGTCAGAAAATAGCTGAGTAAACTTGGCGCTGAGTGAGAGGAGTGTTTAGTTTATCCGAGACAGCGGAGCTGCAGACACCGACAACAGACACTGGAAAAAACACAAAGGAGGGGGCGCTTCGGCCCCGCGCTAATGCCGCAAAGCATCATGGGAGTTGTAGTCTTTGCGGTAAAATCGGCCAGCGGGTCAGTTTTAATATGTTTTTTTATAATTATCTCGCGGGCCACATAAAAATGCTCCGCGGGCCTTGTGTCTGACATATGTGTTAGGAGATCGTTTTGGGACGCGGCTGTGAAAAAATGTGAGACGAAAACCAGAAAAGCTTCTGCCGATCACAATTCGACAACGGACTATGAAAGAACAGATAACACTCAAAATGCGCAGATTCTTCCTGTAAGAGGTGAGTCTACTCTTTGTTTTGGTAATTTTGGCGTTGACATCATCATAGAGCACAACGTACTGTGACTCTTAAAAAAACAGTAAAAACGCTGGCAGCGAAGGGCTTTTCTGATCAGGAAACGGCTGGCAGTGAGTGAGTTAAACAAAAAGAAAAATCTAATTTGTGCTTCGCTTCCATAAAAAAATCCATGTTTAGACTTCTTCTGTGTTCGCAAATCAGTCAGTGAATCATACCGTAATCAGTCACATGCACAAACCACGGCCCATCGTCATTTACTGGACTAATGATGGGCGAATGGAAAAACAGCCCAACCCTAGTGTGGGCTACCGGAGCTGCAATACTTACTCTGAACTGCGTGGCGCTAAAGAGTCGAATGTTTTTACACACTGGGCCTTTAAGCTCTACAACACAGCGACGTGCTGAAGCAACAGCAGTCATACGTGCTGTCAGCGCCGCTGTCGTCGTGTCTGCAGCATGCTGTCTTCCCAACTGTGATTGGTCAAATGATGATGCGTGACTGACGCTACAACAAAGGTAGGTTGTGAACAAGATGAAAACCCCTCCTGTCTCTGACTGATTCTCGTAGTGACTGAAACCCGACAGAAGACCAAGTAGTTCCCACAGCTTAATGTCACCGCTCCCCATGGGGACGGGTCAAATGCAGGACGTAACTTCACCAGTGTGTGACGATGATTTTGGGACTTTAACTCCCCTCAAACCAAAACATTCTTTGGATCAATATGAGTCACATGACCAGTATACTTGGCTTCAAAATCATTCATCAGAGAGATCTAATCACTCTAAAACTTCAAGGTTATACAACAGTCTGTGAATGAGCGAATGACTGGTAATGATGTAAAAAGCTTTGGGGGTTTTAGAACACCAGTAGTGCTAAACATATACAGATCATTATTTTAAAGATTGAACATCATTCTCATAATTTCACTGTAATGTCCCACCATAGACTGACCATATATTCATTCATTCATCCACCAGTACCTGTGTCCATGCTGTCCAGGTCCAGGTGGTGAAGAACACACGATGAATCAGTCCCAGCTGATGGATGATCCTGAAGTGGTAGCTGGTTTTCTTTAGCCGTGTTTAGCTAACAGCTGCAATAGAAACAAAGCAGGAGAGCTGATGAGATGCTGCTTCAGAACAACGCAGGAGATTAAAGATCCAACGCTTTGGTTCTGGCCAAAGGAACAGCAGCAGATCCAGAGGACAGGAAGTCTAGAGAAAAGCTTTTCTGACCCACAACCTGATTCTGGAGCTCCGATTGTCACGAAGACCGCAGAATATCTTCTCTGGTTCTGGAAAGAACTCCACCAAGTTGTTGAGGAGGAGAAGAAAGTTTCCACAGCCTGGTGAGAAGATTTCTGCAGCAGCAGCAGTTAGTCGCTTTAGCTGATCAACTCTCCCAGAGACTGAAGTGAAGACATTTTTACTGCAGAGCCTCAAATATTCTCCTCACACACCAGAACAACAACAAGCTAGCTCTGCTAGCAGCTTCCGGTTTCTACTGTTTCCGGTGGTCGGTGACCAGCGTAAAGGTGCACTAGCGCCACCTGCTGGAGCAGAATAAAACACACCTGTGTGTTCAGAACGGGACTAATAAACACATAACATGTGATATCTTGTTGTTATTTATTCGTATTTTAATCTTGTTTGTTTTTATCTCATCTGTTTTTCTTTGACGTAAAGCTAATTATGTGTCTGTTGCTGCTGCCTCTTGGCCCGATCGTCGTTGTAAATGAGAATGAGTTCTCTATCGACTCATCTGTTTAAATAAATAACATTTTAAGTTGTTTCTTCAAATGCACAAACAAGTAAAATAATTTTCCTTTTTGATGTTTCATTATCTAAATACGTTTTATTTACTTATTTTTATATTCTTTATTTAACCAGGACGCTTCCATTGAGATTAAAGTTCTCAGTTTTGAGGGAGTCCTGGCCAAGAGGCAGCAGAAGATACGATCACAGCATTTCTGTAACAGTTATGTACAAAATTATAGAAGGCAGTTACAACCAGGGCCGTGGGACAAGAAGTAAGCCACAAGTTGCCTTATGTTGCAACCGTCACACTTTCTTTTCCACATGCATTAGGAGAGATTCTGCCACCCCAGTCCCTGTGACAAATCTGAAGATTTTACAAGATGTACACCTTTTTATTCATCCTCTCATGCAGCAAAGTTTCATGTTGACTCCTCCCTAACTTTATCTAAGGCCATCTAACTGACATCCCTCTCTGCTTTCACTCCCTCCTCCAGATAAGATGGGAGACACATTGCCCCATCTACTTCCTACCCAATCTTCCTTTGCTAAGGCTGCGATGACCTACGCCCTGGCTTTTTCCCTTTGCTTTTAGATGTTCTAGTCTGCACCTGGCCTTCGCCTGTTGAGAATCTCCTTCAGCACAAGCTGAAACTTCTAGCAGTATCAGCCAGCATAAATCAGATATAGGTCTAACTCAGTGCTAGGCTGTACCAGTCACAGGTGAGTCATCCATTTGGTATATGCATCGTTCAGTTCAAAGGGACGTGAGTAACACCCGAACATTGAAATGATTAATATGGGGATTAACATACAGGTGATTAATTATAAGCATAAAAATACATGTGTGATCAAACCTTATTTTCACAAAGAATACTGATGATTAACCATAAAAATGAATATATGATTGTCACATATGTGATTAAACATTATTTTCCTTACACAGGCCATCATACAATGAAATGAATCAGAAGTCAATTTAAATGAACTGAACTCTGAAGACCCGTGAAGACGCCAAACACAGTAAAAATGGATTAAAAAGTCTTTATTTTTAGCAGAGTTAACAGAGTAGGGCGAGACTGAGGCAGGGTCAGAGACAGGCAAGGTCCAAATGGCAGGCAGCGAGCAAGGCAGGAGTCAGGAGAAAAAACAAAGTCCAGAGACAAAGATCAGGCAGGGTGGATGGCTGGAGAACTACTAGCAAGGCTGTAATAATCTGGCCGGGAACTGGTGGTTTGCTGGTGAATATATAGTAGGGGAAGCAGGTGTGTGAGATGAGCTGATGAGTGAGGAGCAAGTGAAGTGGATGAAGCTGATGAGGTGTAGGTCAGGTTGCTGTGGAAATCAGGGCTTGGCTGGAGCTTGGTGAAGGGACCAGGTGAGCTGAATGAAGGTAGAATGAGGAAGTGGAGGAGGGTGAAGGACGGGAGTCATGACAGAACCCACCCCTCAAGGGCGGATCCAAGATGCCCACAGGAAACCAGAGCAGGGCGGGAAGGGGACCAGGAGGGAGGGCCAGAGTAGGGTGGGAGGAGGGGGACCAGGAAGAAGGGCCAGAAGAGTCTGGGGGGCCGGCGACAGGGAACCAGGAGCCGGGACTGCGGGAGTCTGGGGGGGCCGGCGAGGGGGAACCAGGAGCCGGGACTGCAGGAGTCTGGGGATAGAGGACACCGGACTACGACTAGGAGGGGACACCGGACTACGAGGGGACTCTGGGCTAAGGCACTGAGAGGACACTAGAGGACAAGGACTAAGAGGGGACACTAGGCTTAGACTAAGAGGGGACACTAGAGGACGAGGACTAAGAGGGGACACTAGGCTTAGACTAAGAGGGGACACTAGGCTTAGACTAAGAGGGGACACTAGAGGACGAGGACTAAGAGGGGACACTAGGCTTAGACTAAGAGGGGACACTAGAGGACGAGGACTAAGAGGGGACACTAGGCTTAGACTAAGAGGGGACACTAGGCAGACTGAGAAGGGACACTAGAGGACGAGGACCAAGAGGGGACACTAGAGGACGAGGACAAAGAGGGGACACTAGAGGATGAGGACAAAGAGGGGACACTAGAGGACGAGGACAAAGAGGGGACACTAGAGGACGGCTAAGCGGGGACACTAGAGGATGGCTGATTGGCCCAAAGACAAGGCGTACGCTTAGAGGAGACGGTGCTTTTGCTGCAGCAGCTCCGATTGTGGAATGGGTTTACTTTAAATGTCAGACAGGCCTCTTCACTGATTTAAACACCTGCTTAAACTCGCCTCCTCTCTGGCCTTAACACCATCTGACATGTTGGCTTTTAGCTAGTTTTGGATCATTTTTTTGATTTAAATAGCATTTTTATTTAGTTTGAACCATATTTGAATCTGCTTAGTTTATTGTTTGAACTCTTTGGCTGTTTTCAGTCCAGTTATATTGTTTTATTGTTGATTCTGTTGTTCTGTGTGCAGGACTTTGGTCCTGCAGGTGTTTCAAGTGTCATACAAATAAAGTTGGTATAATTAGTGAGTTCAAAGAAGGCTGCTTTCTTCACTCTTTATGTTATTTTGGATTATCACACTATCAACATGATTAAATGTTATAATTAGGGCAGATTAAAGCTACTCGAGGAGCGGAAACATTGGTTGGAATTGTCCTTTCTGAATCAGAAACTTAAAAAGGGAACCAACTTCAGTTTGATACAAAACAGGCAATAAAATCCAAACCAAACATTCAAAAGAAAGAAAAAAGAACATTTTTAAAACAGCGTTCCAGTTAGCTTCAGTTTAGTAAGTAGTAAATCTAAAGATTACAGAATAATGCGCGCACACACACACACGTCTTTAAAGCCCAGTTCTGGATGTGAACCCATCCTTCTGAACGTTCCACACTCCACCTGCTACCAGCTGGTATGAAAGTAAACATCTTCATATTCAGAGGATTCCCACTGATTACACACACTTTTAATCCTAAAATATCAGTTGTTCCATCACTCTATAAAGGCATTTCTGACTGGTGTTAGCATCAGAGTAACTGCTGCTAACGACGTTTTCCTTATTGTCTAACTATAAATGAATAGAAACTTTATTTAGGTGGCTGTGTTAAACATGATGGTTGTGTGGAGTCAAAGTGCTGAACCTCTTCCCTGCTGTTGGCTTGTAATTGACACTAATTGTGTGAAACACTTTGTGGTTTTGGCCATGAAAGGTGATAAATAAACAAACTTGATCTACTTTCTGAGTCTCTTGCAAGCTTATAAAAGTGAATATTTGTCATTTGCAAATAATGTGAGGGCTCAATATATTTTATTTAAAGTTTTAACATTTTCATCAACAAAGTTTCTTTTATTTTTACTGTAAGAGCAAACATGCCTGTTGTGGGAGCCATTTTAACTGAAGGTGTAGTTATTGGTTTTTACACTAGATGAAGGCAAACCCACTGAACTTTTGAACAAGTCTCTGTTAATCATGGTGCAAATGGGCACAGGTGTGTTGGATGGAGACAGGGGCAAACAGTTTTGGACCGTGCTGAAGCAGGTTAGATTTATGTTGGAGCTTACAGAAAGAATTGATTGGGGTTGACTGTTGGGGGAGGATCGACAGACGAGTGGAGCGAAATTTGAAAGATTACGGTTTGTTTCTGGATTTTGACGACGGATTTCGGATCACGGACTTTGGTGGCTGGCATAAGCTGGTGTGTGAATGGCTGGAATGGCGTCTCAGGAGGAGGATGAGGACAAAATGGAGTTTGGTGAATGGACCCAGGTTTCTAATGGCGGAAGAGCAGGTAGAGGGAGGAGCAGGAGAGATGGGGAGTGTGTGTTTGGCTCACAGACCAGTAAACGGGGTTTGGAGGAGATCAGTTCTGATGAAGGTACGAATGTTGTCCGGTAAAAGATAGTTAGAGAAGGTTTCAAAATAATCGTGAGGTTCAGAAAGGAAGATGAGAAGGTTCAGTTGAGCCCAATTGCTTTGACATGAGAATTGAAAAAGAAGTTTGGGGAGGTTCAGCTGGCCAAAATTCTAAGGGATGGGAACTTGCTGATAGTAGTGAAGACGGACGAACAGAAAAGGAAAGTACTAAACGTTGAAAGTATTTGTAAGAAGACAGTGAGTGAAAAAAGGGTACTCGGAGAAAATAAGGTGACACGGGGGGTGATTACTGGAATACCGGTGGAGGAAGATCTGGATAAACTTAAGCTGAGTATTCGGGGTGGTGAAGTGAGCCGGGTGAAAAGACTGTTAAAAACAATAGCTGGAGAGAAGGTTGAAAGTCTGTCCATACTTTTGGAGTTTCAGGAGGATGTCCTTCCGAAGAGAGTTAGAATAGGGTGCATGAGCTTCCCTGTTAGAGCTTTTATCCCTCCACCCATTAGATGTTATAAATGCCAGAGGTATGGACATATTGCGGCAGTTTGCAAAGGGAAACAGAGGTGCCCTAAGTGTGGAGGTGATCACAGATATGAGGAATGTGGAGGGAATGTACAAGACAATGCTGCAACTGTGGGGGGCAGCACAGGGTGAGTTATGGGGGCTGTGAGGTCAGAAGGATGGCAGTGCAGGTTGAACAAATAAAAGTGGTTCATAACGTCAGCTACGCAGAGGCTCTGAAAAGGGCGCGGATTGGAAAGGATGAGGCTAGAAAAGTTCAAACGCAGTCGCCATCAGATTTTGTGCGAATACAGGAAACTCGCGCAGGATTGACAGTGGAGAAGATTATTTTGTTCATGGCGTATGTCATAAACTGTTCGGATCAA